AATATTAAAATAATGTACACACACACACACACACACACACACACACACACACACACACCCCTCCCTGGTCCTTAGCTAATGCCGGAAATTCAAAGTTTGCTTTTAACTTTGGCCTTTCAAGACCAGAGCTTTTCATTTGTGACCTAATGGGCCTATGAGATTCTTTTGGGAGAGTAAGGAGTGGGGAGGTGGGGGCACAAGGACTGTGGGCCTCTTGGGGGCTCCATGCCAGGAGCCAGAAGGGGTACAGACTGCTCTCCTCTGACAGCCACACCATCTGCTCAGAGCCAGACTGAGCCTGGAGGATTCTGGAAGCCAGAAGGATTGACGTGGGGCTGGAGGGAGGGAAAGGCTGCGGGAAGAGGAAGAAACTGAGGACTCACGGTTTCCAGGTAGCTTGATCTGTTCCAGGCCTGGTTGCGGTCTGCCCTCACCACAAGTAGTCACGGCCTCTTTACAAGCGCTGCTGGAGCTTCCACCGCAGTCCTGGCACCGCATTCGGTTTCCTGGCAGGAGAAAAGAGGCGCTGGACCTGGGCCCTCGGTGGAGCCTGCTGGCAGAAGACCTGTGCGAGAGGCTAGCTGGCCACCTCCTTACCCAAGGCAGCCCCCAGCAGGGAGCTGAGCAAGATCCCAACAAACTGGGGGTTCATCGCAGTCTGCCTGTGTCAGTCTACCCGATTCTACCTCCCGCCCACCCCCCTCCCCAGCCCGGCTCTGTCAGCCTTATATCCCCCTTGCCTTGAGCTTTATAGGGCTATAAAAAAGGAGGAAAGAGTCTCCCCTAGCAGGCACCAGGGGCCCCAGTGGGGACAGGGAGGGGCCCCATGGCATGCTCTCAGCATCTTCTGGAGTCCTCAAACTCCTTTATCCTCAGCAGCAGTTCTGAAACTGTGGACCAAGAATCCCTGGGGATCCCCAAACCCTTTCACAGGGTCCTTGAGGGGATTCCCTTTGCAATTATCTGTATAAGGTCAGATTTTCTTCATATACTAGATTTCAATGAAAACAACATATCCCAAAGACTGAATGCAGAAGGGATAGGAAAACCCAGGCATCTCCCATGAAGCCTGACATTAGATTCACAAAAATGCAAAGCAATGCTCTTCTTCTCACTGCGCTGTGGAGAAATCATAGTTATTTTTTACAAAACTACATTTTGTTAATATGTAATATTTTATTATTTTTGTTGTTTAAATAAATCAATAAATCCCTACTTTAAATGATCTATTTTAATTTTTAATATAGTAAATGTTGATATAACCTCATAAAGAAAATCTTTTCGGAGTCTTAAGTAACTTTAAAAAGTGTAAAGAGGTCCTGAGATCAATATTTGTTTTGTTTTGTTTTGTTTTTGTGTGTGTGTTTGATATACTGAGTTTCTTTCTCATGGGCATGTACCAGCAAGATCAATGTTTTTGAAAAGAGCTGCTCTCCTGGGTGCCTGTGTCTCCCCTGTCCCCACTCCCTATTCCTAGTCTTACCCCTCCAGGTACATGCTGGCTCTGATTCCCAGATGGGGCCTTCCTCCTTCCCAATCTCTTCAACCCCAGTCTTCTAGGCTCTGCCACACTCCCCCTACCCCAAATCCTATGCACGCCTTCCTTTCTAGTGATTTCTCCCCAGTGCAAGCATATCCGGCCCTCCAGCCCCACCCATGATGATTTCTTTCCTCCAAGGTAGTAAAGCTGGCAGGGATAATTATGGGGTAGGAATGTTGAAGCTTGGGGGGATCAAAGGAATCGGAAGCTAGGTGGGGTCCGCCCTTACACAGCTGGGCTTTGTGTGTTCGTGTGGGTGGGTGGGTGGGGGTATTGTTGATTCCACACTCAAACAGATCCAGGCCAGGGCTGTTTAGGAGGGTGACCTTCAGAGACATGAAAGCATTGAGGGGGAAAAATAGAGAAAACAAAGACGGAGAGAAGCTGAGAGAGTCACGGAGCAGCTTGAGACATGGGGAGGGAGGGAGAGGAGTGGGAGGGAGGGAGAGTAGTAGGAGGGAAGGCGACAGACACAACTCAGGAGTAGGAGAGGAAGCTAAGTTACAGAGACAACACGCTGAGAGAGCAGAGGAGACCCTCCAGGCAAGGGCAGACTCCTTTTGGGGGCAGGTTGTGGCCCCGCTGCCTGCTGGGTCAGGCTGGAGAATCTGGTCATGGTTCCGCACCCCAAACTCACTCCCTAGGTGTGTTTGTTTACGGGTTCCTCCCTGTCTTGCTCAAATGCTCCAACTCTACAAATCCCGGGATCTCGGGTCGCAGATCACCTCTCCCAGATTCCTGAGCCTGGGTCTGGCCATGGGCACCTCCAGCATCTTCCTCTGCATCCTGTTCCTCTGTGGGACACTGGGTAAGGGTGGGCTGGGGACCTTCAGGGGTCAGGGGGCTGGGGGCGGAGACAGGGCATGTGGAGGAACCTGAGGGCTGGGGAGGAGAGGGGTAGGGGTGCTGGAAGAGGCCAAGAAGAGAGCTGGGAGAGTGGGGGACTTCAGGGAGGCCAGCCACTGGGGAGGCCAGCCTGATGAGGTGGGAAAGGAAGAGTTTCCTTTCAAAGGCATTTGAGAATAACTGTCGCCTCCTTGCTCCACTTTGACCCGCCCCGTTTCCCTGGTCCCTTATTTTACCTCTTGCTTCTGTGCTGTGCCTCTTGGTCAATGTCAATTTCTATTTTCTTATCTGTTTCTGGCGCGCTCCTGCCCAGACTCCCTCCACCCTCTACCTCCCTGCTGCCAAGTCTGGCTTTTTGTGTCACTCAACATCAATGTTGGTCTCTGATTCTCGTGCTTCTGATCATGTCTTCGCGACTCTCAATCCATGTTCCCCTCTTTCCTCTGTCTCTGTTTCTTTTCCTGCATCATCTCCCCTCCCTTCTCTGTGTCTGTGTTTCTACTTCTGTCTGCTTTCCTCCCTTGTTGCACAGCTTCCCTCTCTCCACCTAGTGTGTCACCTCTCTCTGCTGTCCCTCTCCTGGATCTGGCCTCTGCCTGCCCCACAAGAAGTGTTTGCCTCTCCCACTTCCCTAATTTCTGCTGGCCAGAAATTAGGCATGTCACCATGTCCCCTGCCCAGGGAAGGCTCCGCTGTTACACCTGCGGCTTCGCCAAACCCTGCTGCCCTGTTCCCACCGCGTGTCAGGACGATGAAGCTTGCGGCATCAGTATTGGCACCTCAGGTAGGACTCTGGTCCAGTGGCCCTCCTGGTAGCTCCCTATCTCCATCCATCCCAGCTTTCCTGTGGCCCCCTCCTCAGTATGCCTCCTTCGTCCCACAGACCAGAGTGAGATCATCCAGCAGAAAGGCTGCCTCCCAAGGGCCCAGTGCCTTCTGCTTGGCCATGCTACCTACTGGCTGCGCTCCTACACCCTGAGGCACCACTGCTGCGAGCAGGACCTGTGGAACGCAGCCGCTTCCCCACGGCAGCTCCCCAGCCTCCCCACCTCCCTGCCCCTCCTCGTGGCCAGCTTCACCAGGAGAGGACACCTCCTCCACTAGCCTTGATGGATCTGCAGCCCCCAACCCGAGATTCCTCCGCCATCACCTCGGCCCTGGAAACACCTGCACAGACACTTTGAGACATGCCCGAGAACCTAATTTTGTACTGAGACCTCAGATCTCTCAGTGAAGCACCCTCACAGACCCCTCACAGGGCCTGGGGAGGAACCTGACCGGAGTCCAGCCTCATAAAAAACACCTATTTTGTGTCTTTTATCTTTTCCAGATGCCCATTGCTGATGCCCCATCAGCCCAAGTCACTGGCAAGGAAGGCATGTTGATGACACTATGGGTCTTGGGCAAGGGGATCAAAGGGGCATCAGGTATGGTGAGGAGGAGAGTCTTGCTAGGAAAGACTAACGTGGTAGGTCGGGAACTCAGGACAGAGGGCTTGGGGAGCTCTGAAGAGTATCTTTAATAAAAGATCTATCTAGGAGTCCAGTAATACTGCAGATACTGCAGTGTGTGTGTGTGTGTGTGTGTGTGTCTTTGCGTGTGTGCTCTAAGAGCAAACTACAGCTGCTTGGTGGGTTGGGCTGGAGCTGGAGCCTGGACCACGGCACTCCCCTCATCTTCCATCTGTGTCATTCGCGTCCTCTTTCCTGCCAGTGGCTTAGTTTAAGCCCCTGCATCATGAAGACTTCTCAGAAAGCTTTTCTCCATTTAGGTCCAAGCTTGAGCAGAGACACAAAAGGGCACCTGGTGGAGCTGCTCATGAGGGTGTGGCTGGGAGCCCAGCTCATTTCTGCCTGTGACTGCAGAATGGCCAGGTTGGGAGCATCAATACCCTCCCTCACTTTACCAGCCCAGACTTGCCCATGGTTCACAGACATCCCAGCATGGCCCTGGCCCAATGAATTACACACCCCGCTGGGCCTGCCTGCCCCAGGAGATAGGGTGTGACCCCAGGGCAGCAGGGAGGAAGTGCCAGGGTGGTAATAGCTGCTCACGTGCTCTGAATGCCCCGGTGGAGTGCGCCGCAGGGAAGAGTGTGTGCCTAGGATAAGGAAGGATAAGGAGGCGGCCCGGGGCTGGGAGCCGAATGCAGGCATCTCTATCCTGACTCAGTTCCCTCCCCGTGCATGTGAGGAAGTCGGGTTGATTGAAGGTGCTTCTTCCCTCTCTTCTTTGTGAGGATGACACATGGGGTAGTGGGGGTCTGGCTTAATTTAGAGATGAGTTGAGTTTTCTTTCCATTTTCTCTGCCCCTCCATCCTCCCACTTTGTGCTTCTATTTTTCTTTCTCTGTCCATCTCTTTCCACTTTCTCTGACTTGAGTCTCTTCCCCTCTCTCTCTTCCCGTTTTTCCCATTTGTCCTTCAACTCCCCCGCAACTGATTCCCCACCACTGCTCAAGTCTCCAGATTCCTGTCTCCTCCCTGCCCACAGCCATCCTCCTCGCCCCCACCAGCAACCTCAGGCTCCCCTCAACCCCACAGTACTATGAGCTCAGGGCCACCCGTCCGCTGGCTGCTACAAGACAGGAGACCAAACCTTTTTGTAGGTGACATCACAGAATAATGTTCCTCCTTTCCTTCAGTCCCCACCCTTCCCCATATACAGCTTGGTGGCTGCTGGAGGCCAGCTGGACTGTGAAGTCGAACTCTAAGTCCTGCCCCCGCTTGCCGAGGTTGTCAGGGAATCCTGCAGGTGCTAGATGGCCAGTGAGACAGCAGGTCACACTTCCCAGCAGATGTCACCAAGATCACCTGGTCTTGTGGGCAGGTGGGCTGTGAGGTTTTCCAGAGAGACAGATTAAAGATACCTCTACTCTCCATGTCCTCAGGAAGGAGGGCTCCATTCCCAACCCAATCCCAGGGTTTCCTCTTCCATCCCCAGCCCCCTCTGGGATTTAAGCCTCTGTCCCCCAGTTCTTCCTCACCCAAGACGGGCCAAATGGATGTTCTCATAGACCTGGATTTCAGGTTTGAACTGAGGAATCGAGGCATCTGGGAAGAAGGAGCCATCGGGGTACAGGAGAGAAGTCAGCAGACAACTTAGAGCCGTGTTCCTTGCCCACCCCCAGAGGAGGTGGGGTACAGAGGCAGGGTATAAGCCTAGGCCTTTGCCTCATACCCACATGCTCTCTTCTTCCCTCAGGGAGGGAGGGACTCACCTCTGCTTGGAGCCCTGTGGACCCTCTGCCTCCAGAGCACGATGCTGAGGGCCAAGATGATAACTCCCTGGCCCATTGTGAGCAGTAGCATCAGAATCCAAGGCATGTCCCAGCCCGTGGAAGGGGTACAGAGGGCAGGAGAGGCATCCATGGAGGCTGTAGTAAGGGCCAGACCTGAGGGATGGGAGGGAGGCAGTGAGGGGCCTGTCCCTGTTCCCCAAAGAGAGGCTTCCCCTCTGTAATCTGGTGGGCTTTTCCAACAGAAGACTTTGTAAGCTTCCCTGACCACAGTATCCTCCACACTACTCTGCCCCTTTCCAGGCCTCTCACCCTCACCCCTGGGCTAACAAATAGAGAATGGCGGTCGGGCGTGGTGGCTCATGCCTTTAGGAGGCAAAGGCAGGTGGATCGTTTGAGGTTAGGAGTTCAAGACCAGC